TGTGTGTGTGAGAGAGAGAGAGAGAGAGATTACATGTGTGTGTGTACTGAGGGGTCAGACCAGGTCAGATGATTGATTTCGGTTTAACATCACGAAACTCCCTTTTTGGACAAGGTCTAGGGCAAGGTCATATATATTCATCCTTTAAGTCCTCGCTTAGGCGCTTTTTTTCTTTTTCTTTTTCTTTTTTTTTTTTTTTTACTGGATTTCGAGCCACGTGGCAAACAGCCTCGTGGTCTTATGTCTAATGGCTTACACAAATCGTGCTTATGTACACGGTATAGTATATTCCCCTCGTTTATCGCCTCATTATATTCCCCTCATCTTTTTCTCTTCACACTAATCCTCGCTTTCTTCCCCCTTTTCTCACTATTTTCTCCTCTCCTCCTTTGTCTCTTCTCCCTTCTCCTATCTCCTGTTCGATTCCCCTCAGCATATTCCTTCATCCCAATTCTTCTTTGCATTCCCTTCATTCTCTACTTTACACCAATCCTCACTTCCTTTCCCCTTTATCATTATTTTCTCCTCTCCGTTGTTCATTTCCCTTCTTCTGTCCCCTGCTCGATTCTCCCATTCTATATTCTTTTTTTTTTCTTTCTTTTTTACTTTCTCTTCATCCCCTTCTCTTCTCTTCCTATCCCTTTCTTCGCTCCTTCTCATCCTATTCCCTGCGTCCTCTATCCTCTTTGCATTCCTCTCACCCCCTCTTTCTCCACGCCAATCCTCTCTTCCCTTCCCCTTTCTCCCAATCTTCTCCTCCCCCCTGTCTCCTCTTCCTTGTTCATTTTCCTTCTTCTGTCCCCTGCCCGATTCCCCTCATTCTATATTCTCTTTCCACTCTCTTCATCCTCTCCTTTTTCACACCAATCCTCACTTCCCAATCTTCATCTTTTCCTCTGTCTCATCTCCCTTGTTCATTTCCCTTCTTCTGTTCCCCAATCCCCATTTCCCTTCCCCTTTCTCCTAATCTTCATCCTCTCCTCTGTCTCTTCTCCCTTGTTCGTTTCCCTCGTAATTAGGATCCGCATCGTTTTGGGCCCGAGTCTATTAATGAACAAATTAGATCTGTTTAATTATTAACATTCGATTCATGTTAATCTGGTCTTAGGATTTGTGAGATTTCGTTCATCGGGTTGGGTGAGTAGCTGATTTTTTTGTGCGTGTGTGTGTGTGTGTGTTTGTGTGTGTGTGTGTGTGTGTGTGTGTGTGTGTGTGTGTGTGTGTGTGTGTGTGTGTGTGTGTGTGTGTGTGTGTGTGTGTGTGAGGGTGTGTGTGTGTGCTTGTGTGTGTGTATGTGTGTGTGTGTGTGTGTGTGTGTGTGTGTGAGAGAGAGATTACATGTTTGTGTGTGAGTACGTGTGTGTATTTTATGTGTTGTATGTGCGTTTTTTTGTTTTTGTTATGTTAATTTTGTTTGTATTTTCTGTTGATTGTTTTAATTGCGGTTTCTTCGTCGTCAGTTTCTTTCCTTATATTTTCTCTTTCTCTTCTTCTCTTTTGCCTCCTCTCTTTTCTCGCTAACTGTTACTACCTCTTTCGCTCTCTTTTTTCTGGCTCTCTTCTATCTATCTATCTATCTATCTATCTACCTATCTATCTATCTATCTGTCTATTTCTCCATCATTCTATCTATCTATCTATCTATCTATCTATCTGTCTATTTCTCCATCATTATATCTATTTATCTATCTATCTACCTATCTATCTATCTATCTATCTACCTATCTATCTATCTATCTGCCTATCTCTCCATCATTCTATCTATCTATCTATCTATCTCTTCACCATTCTATCTATCTCTATATCTATCTATCTGCCTCTCCTTGTTGATAACCTATTGTTCAATGTTTATTTTTGGAAATAAAGACAAAGCCCAGCATTCAGTAACATCACTGATTCTCCAGCACTTATAAACAATGGTTTTGGGGGCTCTTCGACGTGGTATGTGGTTTTGTATATATGTACTTCCATTTTACTCTATATAAAGGGTATGTGAATCTCTTATTCTCTCTCTCTTTCTATCTGTCTATCTCTCTTTCTATCTATCTATTTATCTAACTATATATTTATCTATTTATCTAACTATCTATTTATCTAGCTTTCTCTCTCTCCCCCCTCTCTCTCTATCTGTCTATCTATCTATCCATCTATATATCTATTTATCTATCTATCTATCTATCTCACCTTCTCTCTCTCTCTCTATCTATTTATCTATCTATCTATTCATCTATCTTTCTATCTATCTATCTATTTTTCCTTCTCTCTCTCTCTCTCTCTCTCTCTCTCTCTCTCTCTCTCTCTCTCTCTCTCTCTTTCTCTCTCTCTCTCTCTCTCTCTCTCCCCTCCCTCACACACATACACACTTATAGGTTATGTCTGTTTGGGATTTTAACTTCCTGATGAAAATAAACAAAATGTGAACCACTCTTACAGCAGAAGCGAGGAATAAAAAAGAGATCTGGTATTATGATGTTGATTCACAGCTTAAAATCCAAAGGAATTTTATATCTTATTCGTGTGATTCACTTAAATGTAACGACAGAAAAAAATAGAAAATCTGAATATACGGATGTAGTAAAATGCAAAATGGAAAAGGGAAAGTATGATGAAAAATGACATAACGTAAAGAATATGTAGATATACATTGACAAGCCTATGAAACGAAAAAAAAATGTACATGGGAAGCGGAATAAAAAATCCGAAAACGAACAACAGAAAATCAACAACAAAAACAAACAAAGAAACAAACAAAAATATCTAGCAAAAAAACAAAGAAACAAACAAACAAAAAAAAAGCATAACTTTTCCACCAAACCAAAATATTAAAACAAACCAATAAAAATAAAAACGAAAATATATTAAATAAAATACGAACCTCGCGTTGGCAAGACACTCATGTCCGCTGCGCATTTGTTTATAAACAAATACCGGGAAAGCAGTAATATCACTGTTTGTTGTTGTTTATGATACGCAATATTTTTTTAACAAACACTTGTATCTTTCTGTGTGGTTGATATCTGCATATTGAGGTGTTTTGTTTTGAGAGGAAATATTCTGATATGTATTTACATAAAGATTGATAAAAAGAAAGGGAGAATTAATGGCGTAATGAAGTGTTTTCTTTTATATTTATTTATGTTGAATACGAGTCATAATATTGTCGTCAATCGTACGTGAGTAAAGAATTGATACTATTTTTTTTAAGATCGTAAAGGGGAGGAATAATTTGTATATTTTTTCGCTGTTTTGGGGTATATTGCAGTTTTTAAATTATTGTTCTATAGATATAAAAACAATTGCATGATAAGATTATTGGGAAAAAAGAAGAAAAAAATCTCTCTCTCTCTCTCTCTCTAATCTATCTATCTATCTGTCTGTATATTTCGTTCTCTCTCTCCCTTTATCTATCTATCTATCTATCTATCTCGTTCTCTCTCTATCTCTCTCTGTCTGTCTATGTCGTTCTCTCTCTCCCTTTATCTATGTATCTATCTCGTTCTCTCTCTCTCTCTCTCTCTCTCTCTCTCTCTCTCTCTCTCTCTCTCTCTCTCTCTCTCTCTCTGTCTATGTCGTTTTCTCTCTCCCCTTATCTATCTATCTCGTTCTCTCTCTCTCTCTCTCTCTCTTTCTTTCTCTCTCTCTCTCTCTCTATCTATCTATTTATCTATCTATCTGTATCTATGTATCTTACACTCTGCTATCTCTTTTTTTCTGAAGGAACCGTTTAACCTGCATTTCTTTATCAGTATTTTCAAAAACAATTTCAATGAAGTTTCTTTACCATTAAGTATTCTGTACAAATCCAAAATCTGTTATTACTGATTTTCATGTTTATTTTTAACCACTTTAATTCATTTATTTATATTTGTTTATTTATTTATTTACTTATTTAAATTCTTTATCTATCTAGATAATTATATACTTTTTTTCGATCGTTTTTACGACGTGAAAATATATTCTTTTGATGTGGGATTTTCAGCTCGAGAGACAACCCCCACCCCCCATCCCCCCTTCCTTCCTTTTTTAGGAGTTAATTAATTCGCGTATTCAATCAGTATTAGATCCCTTTTATGACTCTGTTGGTGTATTCATTACGTGGGATTTCACGCGGATTTTCCATCTCTCTTCTTTTTTTTTCTTTGTGGTGTTAGATTGTAAACTTTTTGTGTGTATGTGATCTCATGACCTCGTCTACTTATGTAATGCACTCTTTCTCTTTTTCTTTCTGTTTTTTCTTTTTTTCTTTCTTTCTCTCTCTGTCTATATGTATATATATATATATATATATATATATATATATATATATATATATATATATATATATATATATCTGTGTGTGTGTGTAGATAGATAGGTACATATGTGTGTATATAAATATATATATATATATATATATATATATATATATATATATATATATATATATATATATATATATATATTTATATATATATATATATATATATATATATATATATATATATATATATATATTTATATATATATATATATATATATATATATATATATATATATTTATATATATATATATATATATATATATATATATATATATATATATATATATATATATATACATATATGGTAGAAAAACACACATATATATGTGTGTGTATGTTTGTGTGTGTGTATACATACACATATTTATTTATCTGTTGCTAGCTCCTTTAATGGTTGTTTTACTGCCCTTTTCCTTCTCCCTCTCACTACCTCCTTCTCCCTTCCAACTCGTTCACTTTATATACTCATTTCAATTTATTTATCTTTTAGGCCCTATTATTTATGTGTTGCATCCAATGAATACCTTATTTTGTTGGTACCGGATCCAGCTATCTATTGATCTATCTGTCGTTCTATCTATCTGTCTGTCTGTCTAGCTGTTTATTTATCTATCTCTGAGCGGTTAGACGCCTACCAATCACGCCGCCGTGCTGACCAGGGTAACGCCCCCCTTTGTTCGTGACCTTCGACCTGTACAGTCACTCTACCGCGGGTCAAGGTCCCACTCAAACACTGCCTCCTCCTTGGGGCACGCCACTTCAGGCTACCTGCCGGGCCTCCTTCTGCACAAACCGGCCGCCTCCATCTCCAACCTTCACCTACGCCACCATCTCCAATCTTCACCTACGCCACCATCTCCAACCTTCACCTACGCCACCATCTCCAACCTTCACCTACGCCACCATCTCCAATCTTCACCTACGCCACCATCTCCAATCTTCACCTACGCCACCATCTCCAACCTTCACCTACGCCACCATCTCCAACCTTCACCTACGCCACCATCTCCAACCTTCACCTACGCCACCATCTCCAATCTTCACCTACGCCACCATCTCCAATCTTCACCTACGCCACCATCTCCAATCTTCACCTACGCCACCATCTCCAATCTTCACCTACGCCACCATCTCCAACCTTCACCTACGCCACCATCTCCAATCTTCACCTACGCCACCATCTCCAATCTTCACCTACGCCACCATCTCCAATCTTCACCTACGCCACCATCTCCAATCTTCACCTACGCCACCATCTCCAATCTTCACCTACGCCACCATCTCCAATAAAGTGTGTAACTAGACTGTGCGTTTCCGTAAACCGCTAGCTTGGGGGACTACAACCAGGAACCTCCGACAGATTGGTAAGAGCGATGGGATTTCTACAACACGACACTGACGAACTGGTGACAACAGTGGATGTCGCTTTTATGGAACTATTGACACGAACTTCAAGCTCCCGACAAAGACGCTCGACCACCTCCTCTTTAAAAAATAATAATAAATAAATAAATAAATAAAAGAAAAGAAAAAAATGAAAAAAATAAAATAAATAAAATGTAAGTACGCCATGCGAATTTTCTCTTCTATTTCTTCCTTCTCTCGTACTCTCCTCTCGTACTTTTTTTCGAACATCTAAACATGTTTCCTTTATTAAATTTTGTCGTCATGGTAGATTATATTCACCTTTATTTACCTTTGTTTGATAGTAATCTTTCCTGGATGTTTTTTTATTGGATCTAACTCTATAATGCTACACTAAAAACATTGATTCGTACTTCATTACTTAATCTTTAATCTAGTCGGTAAATCGATACGTACGTTACGTTGAAAGTATTTTTTTTTTTTTTTACAAATGGCCAATGCCCATGTGGGTACAAGTGTGAACGGTTGCCATATTCTAGGCATATATTTTCCTATAGATGGATTCCAGATGACGTCACATGTTTACATTTTTCACTACTGCGCAGGAGCTGGCAGGCAACTTGTTGCGGCGGCTTGGTAGGCCTAACAGGAAACGATCGGAAAACAATAACCTTTTTGATCAGCTGATCCTCGCTGAAAGTACATCTTCGTTTTTATTTTTCAATTCGTATTATATGCAATGTTTTCCAGCTCAAAGTATTACACAACATTGTCAGAAGATCAGAAATGGTATAAATCAGATGGACATACGCTCCCTGATCCGTACATGTTCAAAGACGAATGGAAGAACGATGTTACTTTGATGCCTGATGTTTGCAATTATTTGATAAATATTCCAAGCTCTTTCTCGAATAAATCGTTTGAAGCATACAAGTCTCTGGAAGCCTATACTTTTTTTTTCATTTGTGGGCATGTTCAAGACATTTTTTACCATGGAATCGACAAGAGCAGTAATTTCTGTTTCATTAAGTCTGAGGTGCCGTCAATATCTTTCGTTTTAGTTTATCGAAACTTTACCAACAGCAAGTTACTTATTCAGAACAGAATATTACAAAAAATTTTATGTTCATTGATTGTTTAACTCACATTTTTGAGAGGATAACTTTCAGGGAGACGACTTGATCAAATAGCGACACAAAATTGAACTGGAAGTAACTTAATTCTGAAATTTTCATTCACTCTTGCATAGGTGAATGCCTTTTACTTACCTGATATAAAATGAGTATTGCAAATGCGTGCGTTGTCAATTTTCTTTGAGCTTCAGTTCTCACGTCTGATAACAGCTATCCATTTTTTTTCGTAAGGGACTGTTCATTGTTTCCAAATGGAATCCGATAAAAACTCAAATTGCCACCAGGTTTTCTTCGATTCGTACAACCAACGGCACAGCACAAGTCGGGCATGTTTGTGGTCTGTCAGAGTGAATCTTGCCTGCCAGCAATTGCGCATGTGCTAATTTCAGCGCTCAAAATGTAAACATGGAATCCATCCATCAACGTTATGCCACATTGCGTTAGCCGATGCTTTATTGGCCATTGCATTCATTTCGGTTCGGATTAACCATGTATTAATGGGATGATTTATTGAAATATTTAAAATCCACCAACTAGCATTTTTTTCTAGGCCTTCCTTCCTAACCTAGATTTCCACTCCCCCCCCCCATCTCATTAACCCTTCTTCTACCCCATTTCCCCTTCCTCTTCACCTTATTTTAATATATGTTCAGGTCATGGTGTTCAAGTATTTTTTTTGTATCTAAATAAGTAAACTGATATGAGAGAGAGAGAGAGAGAGAGAGAGAGAGAGAGAGAGAGAGAGAGAGAGAGAGAGAGAGAGAGAGACAGAAAGAAAGAGAGAGAGAGAGAGAGAGAAAGAAAGAGAGAGAGAGAGAGAGAGAGAGAGAGAGAGAGAGAGAGAGAGAGAGAGACAGAGAGAGAGAGAGAGAGAAGGAGAGAGAGAGAGAGAGAGAGAGAGAGAAAAAAAAGAAAGAGAGAGAGAAAAAAAAAGAAAGAGAGAGAGAGAGAGAGAGAAGAAAGAGAGAGAGAGAGAGAGAGAGAGAGATACTTAGGTATAGAAAATTCCAAGGTCACTTTTCCGATTCCTCACTTTAACATTAAATTTACATTGACATTCTATTCATATTTTTCCATTTGTGAATTTTACTTATTCGTTTTCTCACAGTGCAATTAACTTACTATTAACTAATATATTTTATGCATATAAAAGTTATATTCTTTTGCTTTTAATCTTGGTTTAATTAACTTTAATCCATCAGGTCAAATCCGGTTAGGTCAGGTCACTATGATGACATTTTCTCTTTTCTTTGACCTGTTTGATAAATGCCATACTCGTATTTTCAATATTTTATTTTCATATAACTTTGAGACTTTGATAACGTGAATTAACAATTTAATATAGTTCCTTTTACATTAGCTTTCCATAAATGACTGCAGCAATGATGTTAATGCAATTCAACGATATACTCTTGTCACTTCAGGTTTTGCATAAATCATTGAATTTGCATTGTTATTACAATACATTTTGTGCGAATTCTAGAGTTCCATTCCACCATTATCGTTCTTATTCGTTATCGTCATTTTTTTTTTTATGTTGACTTGAATAAAGGTGTATTTTATCAATATGGGTGTTGCATTCATATATAATCAATTTCTTTCTTTCTTGAATTATTCATTTAACACCAATAGATGGTAAGTTCGTTATTCCAATTATTAGTGATACGATTATATAATCTTTCGGTCACAATGTGTTTATGTTTCACGCATTTTTTCTTTTTTTTGTTATAGTTTTTTTTCGATTTTGAGTAGAATATTCGGTCATTGATTAATATGACTCGATTAAAAGATACATTCATATTATTAATATTTATATATCTTTTTTTATATCTTCGCTCTCTCTAGAAATTGATTATATTATATCAACTACTACGATTTCAAATTTTCGGTGATTTTCGTCCTCTCCTGTAATTTATCGGTTCGTGTGAAATTGCCTCCGACATTTTAATGAAGTTCAATTCCTTTCCTTCCCATTCTATTCTATTCTATTCTAATCTAATCTATTCTATTTTATTCTGTTCTCTTCTATTCTATTCTATTCTAATCCTTAATGCTGTTCTATTCCTTCCCATTTTATTCTATTCTGTTCTATTTTATTATAATCGATTTATTCTATTTTATTCTATTCTATTCTATTCTGTTCTATTCTAATCCTTAATGTTGTTCTATTCCTTCCCATTTTATTCTATTCTATTCTATTCTATTATAATCTATTCTATTCTATTTTATTCTATTCTATTCTGTTCTATTCTATTCTATTCTAATCCTTAATGTTGTTCTGTTCCTTTCCTTCCTAATCTATTATATTCTATTTCATTCTATTCTTTAATGATGTTCTTGTCCTCAGTCTCGAACGCCATTTCATCTTCATTACATGTTCTTTGGTGGTGATCATAACAAGGGGTTTTTGGACATGTAATTAGCGTTTAAGTTTTGTTTAGATGTTTAAATGATGTTCTTACTCGCGCCCAGGCAGATGCGGTGCTCACTTTGGGCTTGTGTTTGCGAGTCTAAATGAACGTAGGGCTTGTGTTTCCTTACGGGATAGGATGCCCGATTTGCGTGTTTTTTTTTTTTTTTTCTGTGTATGGTGCTCGTCCCGGTGGTAGCCTCTTAAACACAGTGGGGGTACCTCTCTTTCTCGCTCGCTCTCTCTCTCTCTCTTTCTCTTTCTCTTTCTTTCTCCCCCCCCCCCTCTCTCTCTCTCTCTCTTTCTCTCTCCCCCCCCTCCTCTCTCTCTCTCTTTCTTTCCCTCTCTATCTCTGTTTGCCACGTAGCTCGAAGTCCAGAGTAGAACCATCGACTCAGCTTGGGCTTAGATGACGAGTTTACCTGACCTTGTTTGACCCCTGATTCGTTTCTCAGCCACCAGTGTGATCAGGGCTGGAGGGCAGGACCACGCGACCCCGCACTCAGCGTTTACCCTAAGACTCGTCTCGTGTGTTCCTTTCACTGTGTTGTACTTTTCTTCATTAATAAAGGGCCAAGCCGGTATAGAACTATGACTACTCCTGTAGACCATTGTTTAAAGGTCAACTCCCTTACCCTTTTAATCTCTCTCTCTCTCTCTCTCTCTCTCTCTCTCTCTCTCTCTCTCTCTCTCTCTCTCTCTCTCTCTCTCTCTCTCTCTCTCTCTCTCTCTCTCTCTCTCTCTCTCTCTCTTTCTCTCTCTCTCTCTCTCTCTCTCTCTCTCTCTCTCTCTCTCTCTCTCTCTCTCTCTCTCTCTCTCTCTCTCTCACCCCCGTCGGTCGATCAGCTGTTCCAAGAGAAGCTGACCCGATTTGCTTAAACCATACATTACTCTGTAAGTTCCGTCTTTTCTGTAACAGACTTATCATCATTCACTTCTTTTGTGAAACGAAAGATTGCCATTTTTGTGATTTCGCATAGGTGTTGATTTAATGTTGCAATCACCGTAACTATTGCCATAATTATAATTGTTCTTTTCGTGCAGTCAGATCGGTACTTATTTTCCTTACAGGCTACCATTTTTTTTTTCAATCCTCGCCTACGTACTTCATCCCCATCCTCGCCCATACCCCCCCCCCTTCCTTCCCTTAACCACCCGACCTCCCTCTCCTCCTCCCCTTCGCTTATCTGTTTCACTTCGCACGCCATTCTCCTTCGTATCTATTCCCAATCTCGCTTTTGGTCTCATTAGCTAGCTGTCATACCTCTCTAAACTACTTATCACTACTACACTATTCCTTACTTACGTACTATAACCTGAGGTAATCATTTTATAATTTTCAGTCATTCGCTCACTCACTCAGTTCGTCTGTTCACCTCTCACCTACTCTTTCAC